TATTGTTACACCTGAAACTAATATTAACACTGGATGTGAACTACACTGGAATTAAATTTTAAACTTTGAAAAGTTTTTTAAAGTGACAACTGAAAGAGGAAAAAAAAACAGTGAGATACCATTACACACCCATGAGAATGTTGAAAATCCAGAACACTGACACCAAAAGCTGGCAAGATGTGGAGAAACAGGAACCCTTGTTCACTGTTGATGGGAATGCAAAATGGTACAGCTACTTTGGAAGACAGTTTGGCAGTTTCTTACAAAACTAAACATACTCTTACCACACCACCCAGCAATTACTTGGTACTTACCCAAATGAGTGGAAACTTGTGTCCACACAAAAACTTACACATGAATACTTATAGTAGCTTTATTCATAATTGCCAAAACTTGGAAACAAACAAGACATCCTTTAGCAGGTAAATGGATATACTGTGATATGTCCAAAAGAAAAAAGAAAATGAGCTATCAAGCCATGAGAAGACATGGAGGAATCTTAAGTGCATATTACTAAGTGAAAAAGCCAATCTGAAAAGGCTACATCCCAACTATAGGACATTCTGGAAAAGGTAAAACCATAGAGACAATAAAAGGATCAGTGAAGGGGTGTGTAGGTGCCTCATTTGGTTAACACAGGCCACACCGAGCATGGAGCCTGCTTTAAGATTTTCTCTCTCTCCTGCACTGCCCCACCACTCGTGCTCACACATTCTCTTTTAAAAATAAGGATCAATTGATTTCTGTACATTGATTTTTGTATCCTGCAACATTGCTGAATTCATGGATCAGTTCTCGTAGGCTTCTGGTGGAGTCGCCGGGTTTTCTATGAAGAGTATCACGTCGTCTGTGAAAAGTGAAAGTTTGACTTCTTTACCAATTCTGATGCCTTTGATTTCCTTTTGTTGTCTGATTGCTGATGCTAGGACTTCCAGCACTATGTTAAACGACAGTGGTGAGAGTGTTTCTGATCTCAGGGGGAAAGCTGTTTTTCCCGTGAGGATGATGTTAGCAGAGGGCTTCTCATAGATGGCTTTTATGATGTTTAGGTAAGTTCCTTCTGTCCTTTCTCAAGGGTCTTTATTAAGAAGGGATGCTGTATCTTGTTGAATGCTTTTTCTGTATCTATCGACAGGATCATATGGTTTTTATCTTTTCTTTTGTTAATGTGATGTATCACATTGAGTGATTTGCGAACATGGAACCAGCCCTGTAAACCAGGAATGAATCCCACTTGATCTTACTGGATTTTTTTTTTTTTTTTACAAATAGTTTATTGTCAAATTAGTTTCCACATAACACCCAGTGCTCATCCCCACAAGTGCCCTCCTCCATGCCCATCCCCCTCCCCCCCCATATCCATCAGTCCTCAGTTTTTGCTGGATAATTCTTTTTATGTGCTGTTGGATTCGATTTGCAAGTATCTTGAGGACTTCTGCATCCGTATTCATCAAGGATATTGGCCTGTAGTTCTCTTTTTTTGCTGGGTCTCTGTCTGGCTTGGGAATCAAAGTAATGCTGGCTTCGTAAAATGAGGCCAGAGTTTCCCTTTGATTTCTATTTTTTGGAATAGCTTGAGAAGAATGGGTATTAGCTCTGATTTAAATGTCTGGTAGAATTCCCCAGGGAAGCCATCTGGCCCAGGGCTCTTACTTGTTGGGAGATTTTTGATAACTGGTTCAATTTCCTCACTGATTATGTGGTATATTTATACAATGGAATACTACATGGCAATGAGAAAGAATGAAATCTGGCCATTTATAGCAACATGGATGGAACTAGAGGGTGTTATGCTGAGCAAAATAAGTCAAGCAGAGAAGGACAAATACCATAAGTTTGCACATACAGGTGGATTAGGGGGAAGCTAACGGAGCACCATGGGGGAGAAGAAGGGGGAAATAGTGAGGGAGAGGGAGGCAAACCATGAGAGACTCTTGAATGCTGAGAACAAACTGAGGACTGATGGGTGTAGTGGGGAGGGGAAGGGGGGTAATGGGCATGGAGGAGGGCACTTGTGGGGATGAGTACTGGGTGTTATATGGAAACCAACTTGACAAACTATTTAAGGAAAAAAATAATAGCAAAATAAAGTAAAAATAAGGATCAGTGGATTACAGGGATTAGAGGAGAGGGAAAGATGAATAAACAGAGCACAGAGGTTTTATGGGTAGTAAAACAATTCTGTATGATACTATAATGGTGGATACATGTCATTATAAGTTTGTCAAAACCCCCAGAATGCATAACACAAAGTGAATCCTAATGTAGATGATAGATTTGGGGTGATAATAATGTGCCATTGTAGATTCATTAACTGTAAAAAATGAATCACTCTAGTGATGAATTTTGATGTGGGGGAAGCTATGCATATGTAGGGGTAGGGGAACATGGGAAATCTCTGCACCTTGAACACAACTTAGCTGTGAACCTGAGATTTCTCCTAAAAAATAAAATTTATTGGAATGCACACTGGTGCAGCCACTCTGGAAAATAGTGCGGAGATTCAATAAAAAATTAAAAATAGAACTATCTTACGACCCAGGAATAGCACTACTAAGAATTTATCCAAGGGATACAGAAGTGCTGATTCATAGGGGCACATGTACTCCAATGTTTACAGCAGCACTTTCAACAATAACCAAATTCTGGAAAGAGCCTAAATGTCCATCAACTGATGAATGGAAAAAGAAGATGTGGTTTATATACACAATGGAATACTACTTGGCAATGAGAAAGAATGAAATCCTGCTATTTACAGCAACATGGATGGAACTGGAGGGTATTAACTAAGTGAAATAAGTCAGAGAAAGATATCACGTTTTCACCCATATGTGGAACTTGAGAAACTTGACAGAAGAGCATGGGGGAAGGGAAGGGGAAATATAGTTACAAACAGAGAGGGAGGGAGACAAATCATAAGAGACTCTTAAATACTGAGAACAAACTGAGGGTTAATGGGCGGGCAGGGGAGAGGGGAAAATGGGTGATGGGCATGGAGGAGGGCACTTGCGGGGATGTGTACTAGGTGTTCTTTTTTTTTAATAGTTTATTGTCAAGTTGGTTTCCATATAACACCCAGTGCTCATCCCCACAATTGCCCTCCTCCATGCCCATCACCCCCCTTCTCCTCCTCCCCACCCCCCATCAGCCCTTAGTTTGTTCTCGGCATTCGAGCACTAGGTGTTCTATGTAAGCAATGAATCACAGGAATCTACCCCCAAAACCAAGAGCACACTGTACACACTATATGTCAGCCAACCTGACAGTAAATTATATTAAAAAAAAACAAAAAATAAAATTTATTAAAATTAATTTTTAAAAGATAGTACTTTCAACAGTCAGTTAAGAAGGCACTATGGAGTGGCAGAATGAAACAGAAGAAATCTGAGAACTATCTGCTAGTCTCAAACCTGCCACAATCTAGTTCTGTGGCTTAGGACAAATTTTCTCATTTTTGTGGACCATATTTTGTCTACCTGTACATAAAAAGTAGGTTTCAGTGAGTCTTAACCTTTTTTGTGTTGCTCCCCCTCCAGGCTACCCTCCACAACAGGGCTATCTTCCTAAAAAACAGAAGCTTGGTTATATTATTCCCCTATTTTAAACTTCCTTTCCTACCCCTCCTTCCAGGATAAAAAAAAGTCCCAACCCTTTATTAGGGCATATAAAGATCCCTCATAATTTGACCCTTCTGGTCACATTATTCTTACTTCCTTTCATTCTAGCCACAGTTCTTTACAGGTGCTTCCCAAAGTGAAGTCTAAACAGCACCTGTGTCAAGTACCTGTAATGAAAGCAAACCCCAAATAAGGTTAGGATCTCAGGCAATGGGATGTAAGAATCTACATTTTCACAAGATCTCCGGGCAGTTCTGCCTCACATAGTATTTGAAAACCCCTGCCCTACATTTTAGCCACACTGAAATTTCCCCGACTTCCCTGGCTGCAATGTCCTTCATTGCCTATCCATATGGTAACATCTATTTACCTCAAATGTCACCTGTGCTATGAAACCTTGGGCCAATCCTTAGGTAACTGGCTGTTCCATTCTCTGTGCTTCTAGCACTTTGTTCACCTTGCACAAAGTACTTAGTACCTACTATAATTATCTACTTACATGTCTGTTTCTCCTCCTATAATGAGAGCTTGGAAATAGAGAATATGTCTTAACTTATTTTTATACTCCCAACATCTAGAACATAATAGACATACAATAAATGTTTTCTGAATGAATGAACGAATAAAGATGAAGAGCTAAACCATTCCACAAATATTTGAGTGCCTACAATGTGCTAGGTACTGTTCTAGTACAAGAAAGTCATCAGAACTTTAAAAAAAATTTTTTTAAATGTTTTATTTCTGAGAGAGACAGGGTAAGCGGGGGAGGGTCAGAGAGAGGGAGATACAGAATCCGAAACAGGCTCCAGGCTCTGAGCTAGTTGTTAGCACAGAGCCTGAAGAGGGGCTAGAACCCACGAACTGTGAGATCATGACCTGAGCCGAAGTCGGATGCTTAACTGACTGAGCCACCCAAGCGCCCCAAAAATCACCAGAACTTTTTGCCTGTAAGACAATTAGAACCCTGATATTCTATTTTAAGCCTCTTTTAACATCTTATCTGTAGAAAATGCCAAATGAGCCACTTGTTTATTTATTCATGCTTAGGAAAGAACAATTTACCTGATGTTTAAAAGTGAGTAACACAACAGCTCAGACCCTGGAGCCCGTTTCAGATTCTGTCTCTCCCTCTCTCTCTGTCCCATTCCCTGCTCGCACTCTGTCTCCTTCTCTCAAAAATAAACATTAAAAAAATTTTTTTTAAAAAGGAGTAGCATTATGACAAGTGGCAGTGGAAAAACACAACGCACTTGGTCTATTTCCATAAATGTGCTTGAAGAGTCTAGACTCAATTTCATAGTAACCCTGTCTTTATCACTTTCTGGAGAATGTACCTTAAAGAGCTGGCAAAGGAGAAAGTAGTAAATGAAGACAAAGCCAAAGTGATTCTGCCAATAAATACTTTAATGAGAACCAAGGTCTATAACATACATAGCAGTAACTGCCCTGGCCTATGCCTTCTGCTCTAGCCTAAGTTTGGGCTAACCAACTACATTTAACCCACATTTGAAAAGAAGGTCATTTTGATGTCATCTATCAGTATCCATCTTCATAGAAGATACCAATCTGGGGCCAGAGACTCAATGTTAACACTTCCTCTCAGGGAAAAGTTAACATGGTAACACAAACACATGAACAATTTTGAAACATCCTGTAGTTCTTCCATCAGGAGGGCCTTGGGAGACCAATGGTTCAGTAAACACTTAACAACTTTGTCAAAATACATTAGAACACAGAAAAAGGGGAAAAAAGTAGAAACACTGGCAGGGCCTGGCTCACGTATACTTCAGTTCTTAGATTTGAAGCCTCTTGAGCTGCTCGTATGTAATAAAAAACTGAGGAGTAAGTCATGGAAGATCACTGGGTTGATATTGAAAGCTAAACCTAGCTCTAAAATTGTGTACTGCATTCTCTTACATGGAGATATTTAGTCTATCTCTTCTGAGTTGTACTTGCTTAAGACTTTTTAAAAACAATACCTGACAAATCAAGCATGCATTGAGTGCCTACCATGTACTCATTATGATTTGGCATTTACCAATAAAAGAAGATTAGAACTCTAACATACTTATAGTCTTTAGCGGCCAACAGGTCACACACACACTCTTTCACACATACCCACACACACCCAAGAACATTAATGTCAACATGTAATTCAATGCTAAGAGACTTAATTAATTCAATGTTACAGACTTCAGGTGATCAGATCAATCCCCAGGAGAGAGAGGCATACTCTCTTCCTCATCCTATCGATTCCACAAGGGCAAGGACTTACTTTTCAACCTTGTAATGCTCACCACTATACATACAAACTATACACAATATTCAAAATTCACTGCACAAAGAGACACTCAAACATAGCTAAAGAAAGGAGAGCCATCCATGAGGATGGCTGGTCTGGATTCCTTCATCCTATGAGTGTTTTCTGTCTTATTATTTCCCCAGTTATTCTGGTCCTATAGTTAGGAGTAGGAAATCTTGACCACCTCAGCATGTACCTTCCTATGGGCAAATCCCAACAGGGTTTCCAAAAACTTCACAACCACTTCCAGATTTGGTTGTACTTGTAACTTTGTTTTAAAGAGGAAACTTTGGTACATCTTTTATGCCAGATTCCAACTAAAAGCCTTTTCTCTACTTAGTTTCATCCTCAATGGTCACCATCAGAATGCTTGAGTTTCTCACTTGTCTAAAGGTATCAATAACCAAATTTTCCTTCCCATAGTCTAGAATTACCTGGGAGCTTAAAGCATCTGCTTTCGTTCTCATATTCTAAAAGGATACAATGATGTTCCAGGGTCCAAGTCGAAGCCAGTTTGGGCAAAATCCTCTATAGAGTGCAAAAAATCCCTCATGTTTCCACATCTGAGGGAAAGACAAAATAAAAAATAGAGTGAATTCCCCTTACTATTTACATCTGACAATTACTTTTAATACTCCTCCTCCATGTCCCTCCCCAACAACTTATGGCTCCATGAATGCTGTTTTTCTAAAAACATACATTTTGAATTCATATATAGTCTAAATCTACCCACTCATTCAACAAACATTTAAGCACCTTGCATATGCAAGGTACTCTTCTTGATTCTGGTATGATAGTAATAATAGTAAACAAGAGAGAGAAAGTGTCTGTGGTAGCCAGCCTCCAAGATGACCCCAATGAAAGCCACCACTAGTTACTCATACCCTTGTGTAACCCCTCTCAGAGCATACCAGGAGAGGTCTATGTCACCAAGAAAATACAGCTGTAGTCTGTCACCTCCATTGTTATAAAAGATGTTTCAGATCTAAAAGGCTTCTGATTCTGTCTTCTTCTCTCTTGAGTTGTTCACTACAGAGAAAGCTAGCTGTCACATCATGAGGAGAGGCCCAGAAGGTGAGAATCTAAGGCTTCCAGCCAACAGCCAGAGAGGAACAGAGGTTTAATAGCTAATAGCTGATAATTCCTGCCAATAGCTACATGAGTGATCTTTGAAACAGATATCCCAGCTCCAGTCTAGCCTTCAGATGGCTGCAACTCTAGCTGACATCTGACTACAACCTTACAAGAGAATCTAAGCTGAAATAACTAAGCTAAGCTGCTTCTGAATTCCAAACTCCTAGAAACTGCGGGATCATAAATGTTTGCTGCTTTAAGAAACTGAGTTTTGGAGCAATTTGTTATAAAGGAAGAGATAACTTATATAGTCCCTGCCTTCATGGAGTGCATTCTCTAACAGAGCTGACAAATACACAGACTGATCTATATTATATTCAGAAACGATACGTGCTAATAGGAAAACTAAAGTAGGGCAGGGAATAAGGAGTTGGGAAAGTCAGTATCCTCCTCCTCTGAGTCTGTTTCATCATATCAATTTCTGTGTAATGCTATGGACTATCTCATGTAAATGCTTTCAGGATTACATGAGGAACAGCGTGTGAAATGCTTTGAGTTTAGGTTTCCTATTTTATACAATGGGGGTCCTCAACACACCGAGTAGTTATTAGAATTAAATGACAAATTATGCACACCAAAGGTCATAAACTGGTGGTGTGTGATGAATTCAGCCAGCAGAAAGAGTCCCTATTTAGTGTACTGCTTTAAAATATTAAGTAACTCCTGTGTGTTAGGCACTGGGTTAAACACTGTGATGTTATTTTGCCCTTCCCCTGGTCAAGTAAAACCTGCCACTATGCTAAAAAAAAAAAAAATGGATATATTTGGATAAGACATTAATATGAGAATCCAGACTTTTAAATATCCCCTACCCCATCTTGTAGATCAAGAATACTCAAGATAATTATCCTTACTAACCATTTTTTGAACAAATAGTAACAGAATAATGATACTTTTTACAGAAACATAGTAGTAATATGCTTTCCTCCAATGGATTACCAGCCAGATGCAGAAAACCTAGAATCATAGACTAACATGACAAGGGAGCTTGGAGATACAATCCAATAGAAAAAATATATAATTTATACAGTAAATTATAAATACTGTAACTTTCCTGCTTCAAGCTCTCTAATAGCTTCCCAGTGGATTTCGCTCTAATTGCAATTTTCTTTGATGATCTATAGGATCCTACATGATTTAGCCCCTGCCAGTCTCTCCAGTTTCACTTCCTACTACTTTCTCCTTCATTTACCACATTCAGCCACACTAGCCTTCTTTTTAACCTTTGAACATATCCAAGTTCATTCCTAACTCAGGGCCTTTGTACCTGTTCCCTCTTTTTGAAATGCTTTTTCTCTCAGATCTTCATCACCTTCTTCTCATCATTCAGACCTCTGCTCAAATATCACCTACTCACAGCCTTGTCCTGGCTATCCTAGCTGAAGTAGTTCCCTATCATCATTGCCAAGTTACTGTCTTATGCTCTGTTTATGTCTTAATAGCATTTAATTCCATCTGAAATTATACTGTTTATTATTTGTGTGTTTATTGTCTGTCTCCCTCAACTAGAATGTACTCTCCAAGAAAACAGTGACTATGTTTGTCTTGTTCACCATTATACCCCTACCACCTAACACTATCTGGCACAGGAAAGTTTCCAATAAATACCTAAATGAATATTTGTTGAGTACATGAACATACAAACACAGTAAGGGTCTCTAACACTCCCATGAGCCATATGAACCTTTAAAAAGTTCCAAAACAGTGACTAACTCCTATAGAACATAAGGACTGGGAGGTCCAGTGCCTGGCTTAAGACAGTTGTGTGAAAACAAACACAAGAACTTCTACAGATAGAGACAACAGACTACTTCATAACGTTGTGCATTCTTCAATAAATAATCAGCTGTGAATAAAGTGATAAGATGCACATGTCTGTACCTTCATGGAACTTAGTCGGCTGGGGCAAAGGGGCATTAAAAGCAATTACAATAAAATGTAACAAATGAGAATAAATGTGATACAGCCACACAACTGAATATCACCCATCCATAAAAAGGAACACACTGACACACACTATGACATGAATGAATCTTGAAACACTGTGGTAAGTGAAAGCCAGTCAAAAAGATCGCATATTGTATGATTCCATTTACATGAGATATCTAGAATATGCAAATCTAAAGAGATAGAAAGTAGATTAATGGTTTCTTAGGACTGGGAGGGAGGGAACAGGGGAGTGATAACTAAAGAGTACAAGGTTTCTTTTTGAATTCATGAAAATGTTCTAAAATCAACTGTGGTGATGATGGTTGCACGTATCTGTGAACATACCAAAACCCTCTTTGAATAGGTGAATTTTACAATGTGTAAGTTAGTCCTCCAAAAAAGATGTTTTTAAATAATATAATAAATGTTGACAGAATTAAGTACAAGAAACTGTGTACACATAACCTAGTTCAACAGTCAAGGACAGCCTTTAGGAAAAAGTAATGAGGTCTGAAGAATGAATAGGAGCTAGCCAAGTGAAAAGGATATTTAGGGTAGAGTGGGGGCATCTAACAAAGTATATGGCATGGATGAAAATTTGGGAATGAAGGAGTCTACCAGTGGAAATTGTATAGTACATCTGGAATGTAGAATAAAGGTAGCAGTGATAAGGCTGTAGAAATAAAAAGCAGCCAAATCATATAGAGCCTTGGGTCAACGAGAGGCCATTCAAGGGTTTTAAGACAGAGGTGACAAGGATAAGATTTGCAGCTGTTGGTTTCTATGGCAGAGATGAATGTAGAACTCCATTCAATAGTGCTCTGTGACTCTCACTGATGAAGTACTAAAGCATGATGCTATTATATACAATGACAATATAGAGTATATAGTATAAAGAACTTTAACAGCAAATAAATGAATGAGTGAATATAAATAAAGGTTATTGCCAACATGAAAACATGTCATATGTTTCTGACAATACAACACAGCATGGTGGCTAGAAGTATAAACTTTCAAATCAAACAGACTCTGGTTTAAGTCCCAGATCTGTCACTTATTAGGTGTGTAATCTTGGGTACTTAGCCACTCCCACCTAAGTTCCCTTGTTTATAAAATGGAAAACATATCTACTCTATAGGGTTGCTGTGAGTTAAAGGATAGACTATAGTGTGTGGCACATAAGCATTCACTAAATGCTAGCTATTACTCTATTATCAAACATTCTACCTCCTGTTAGCCTACCTTCTTGAAAGAGTATTTTACACTTATCTATTTACCCTTGATTCCTATGTGTTTACCTGTCTCTATTAAAGTGTCATGAAGGCCAAAACTTTTCTGACACATAACTAGAACAGCACCTGGCATATAAGACTTAAACATTTTTGTACTGAATGAATGAATGATTAAACACACTCCTCATGCACAGCAATCTAGCTTTTGCAAACATCAATCCTGCAAACTTCCTCTAGAAAATATCAAATCCAACAGATAGTTTGTAGTCCTTATATATTGGACTTCTCTATTCCAGTTGGCATTAAATAAGTACTCATCTCTTCTTGAAACTCATTACTCCCTTGACTTCCATGGCTCTTCTAAGTTTCCTCATATCTTCTGACTGTTATCTTTTGGTTTCTTTCCTAGGTTTCCCACCTGCCAAGCCCTCAGCAACTGGTATTCCTCAGAGTTATTTCCTTGGCCCTACCTTTCTCTCTACACCAGTGATTGTCAAGTGTAAGGGTAAGCATGTCAAAAATAGCAAGGAGGGGCTTTTACCACTCTACTCCCCAGAGTCTGAGAATCACTTACTCTGTGATTCACTATTAATAGAAAGAATTCATAATACTCTAGTGTGGTAAAAAGGCAAAAATGATGTGAACTCCTCTACCTTCTCTCCTTGGTTTCCCCCTCCACAGTTATATAGCACCTGGATACTACTGATCACCCAGGCTACTATCTATACTCTAAACTCTCCCCTGAGTTAAGACTAAAATATCCAAATATATCCACTGCATGCTTCTCATGTACTTCAAACTAAGTATCCAAAATTGTACTGTCTCCCCAAAAAACCTGCTTTTCCTGTAATGTCTGTGTGTCAGTGAGTATCACCACACAGTCACCCAAACAAAGAACTGGGAAGTTATCTCTGATACTTCCTTTCTCCCACACCACTCCACACCCAGTTAAGCAAATCCTATTGACCTTATCAACTAAATTATTCTCAGTTCTATCCTACCTTCTGCATCCCCTCTAGAGTGCTCAAATTTAGGCTTCATTGCCTCTAGTTTAAGTTACTAACAGCCTTCTAGGGGCGCCTGGGTGGCTCAGTCAAAAGCGTCCGACTTCGGCTCAGGTCATGATCTCACAGCTAGCTCAGAGCCTGGAGCCTGTTTCAGATTCTGTATCTCCCTCTTTCTCTGACACTACCCTGCTCATGCTGTCTCTCTCTCATAAATAAATAAAACATTTAAAAAAAAAAAGTTACTAACAGCCTTCTAATCAGCTTCCCTATCTCTAGGTCAGTGTTTCTCAAAGTGTTGTATACAGATGAGCAGCATCACTATTGCCTGAGAACTGGTTAGAAACAAATTTTCAAGTCCCTATTCAAGACCTGCTGAATCAGAATCTGGCAATGGGCCCCAGCAATCTGCATTTTAATAGACCCTCCAGGTAATTCTGATGCATGTTAATACCTTAAGAACCACTGCTCCAGGATTATCCCCTTAGATAATTGGCTTTTCAACCTTAGGTGAACACTGCAATCACCTGAGGACTTTTAAAAATACTTTCAACCTGGGTCCTACCCCCAGAAGTTCTGAGTTCATTGGTCTAGAGTAGACACAGGAGTGTGAAAGTTCCCCCAGGTGGTTCCAATGCACCTGAGAACCACTGTCTTACAAAGCCAAAGCAAAATGTCTAAAATGCAAATCTGACCTGTTTTAAGATCTTTCAATTGCTTCCCATCCAGTAAAAAAACAAAAAACAAAAAACAAAAACAAGTACTTCAGCATAGCATTCAATATCCTTTACAATTTACTTAACCCTTAGCCATCAACATAAGAAAGGCACTACAGTGTAGAGGTTAACAATGTTAGTTTGAAGCCAAATGGTCTGAGCTGAAACCCCACTAGCTGAGAAATCTTGAGCAGGTTAATCTCTAGTGCTTTAGTATCTACCTCACAGGGGTAATGATGAGGATTAAGTGAATGAATACATATAAGTCTCAGTAGGACAGTTTCTGAATCACAGTTAAGCATTCAACAGATGTGAGTTATTATTCAAGATGTCACCATCTACAGGTAGCCTATTTTAAACTTCCAAATTAGACTAAAATTTCCTTCGATAGGTCCCTGAGTTTATCATTTACCAGCCTGTGCTGATTATCTGTTTGTACACCTGCAGTACAGTATAATATCTCTATATTACTAAAATGGTGCCTGTTAGATAATAAATGGCTGTTAAACTAAACTGACAGCAGCACAGAGAAACCATATGGAAATGTCATATTTTGGGCCCAAATTTGCTTTTTGTAAAGAAGGATGATCACCAGTGATTACACAACACATTCAGCTTCCTGAATATCATAGCATCACAGAAACTTTCAAAGGCAAAGTGTGAACAATAGCACAATAACTGAAATTGAATACCGGATTTTCTATTACAGGGTCTCTGTCTTGCCTGAAGCAGGTAAATGTGGGATATGTTAAGTCCCTTATATCAATAATTCTTCACAATGCTATCAATAAAAGTATCCTGCAGTCTCAAACATTCAAACTGGAATGATAATATTAAGGACCACTGTGTATCAGCAGATTGCCAAGGAGACAGCTCTTATACCTGGGAATTATTCTGAAAGACTATTAAAAATATACATACAACCAAGATACATAGCAACCAAGAATAAGGACTGAAAGAATGTCTGAGATATCTAAGAAAATTAAAAATGCAAAACAAACCTACAGTGTGCATACCTTTAAAATACCATCCAAAGTACCCTTATAAAGGTCTACATGTCCCACGATTGCCCTCTGGTTCATCATGCGAGTTCGAACCACATCAACTGGATTAGAAGCAAGGGCACCAGCCAAGCCACATGTAAAGCTGGAACTAAAAACGAAAACTTTTAAGATAAACTGCTTCACTTCCAACCCTGACTAAACAGAAATTAAGCCAAACATAAATGCATAAATGTATGATGAGTCAGACTCATCAGATAAAACCTGGCACTTGCCCTTTCATTACAATCTAAAGAGAAAGGAAATGTGTTCGAAAGGAATATCATCCAAAAGTTATCACTGTGGGCCACCTGGCTGGCTCAGTCAGTATAGCATGTGACTCTTGATCTCAGGGTTGTAAGTTTGAGCCCCATATAAGTGCAGAGATTACTTAAAAACAAAATCCTTTAAAAAATATTATCCCCTTCACTTTGCAATCCAAAACTGAGCCTTTTAGTGAGGAGCAGTTTATAAGTCTAGCAAGATCCCTAAGCAGAAAGTAATATACGTCATCTATTAGATATGTAAAGTTTTCATACCACAGCATCATATACCAAATATATTTGATTGGTAAAGTATCATAAAAGTTACAAGATGGAGAGAATGTAGGATTAGCAACAGTCTTCAGCCCAAAACTGTGGTTTTGTTTCACAGGTCCTATAAATTTTCACTCTTTTTTATGATTCTCATTGAGAAAAGTTTGCTTTATGATCCAAACTTAACCAAAGCAAATAACAGGTAAGATTAGATATAGAGGCTGTATATGAACAAATGCAAATCCTAGCCATCTAATAGGCTGTTGTATACACACTGCTACCAAGTACTAAAGTACTCATAGCATCTAGGATCTCTGTACAAGTATTAGAAGGCTTGAAGTTCTGGTGATAAGAGAGACAAGGGGTATCTAGACCATCTGTACTCATTACTGATTCTACATGAGGACTTCAGTGAAAGATGCTTTTTGTGCTTAAAATAATGGAAATATGGACTAAGCACAACCTATAACACTTACACAAAGTGAGTTAAAATTGTGTCTCCCATCACCCCTGACAATATTAAGTGCTTCTTTGTAATATCATAGACTGGTAACTCCACGCCCACAACGATGGCAGCCCGCTGAGCAGTTGGGACAACACCCTGCAAAATATAAATGATATTACACACCAAAGAAATACACAGGTTAGTGACATAAGTTTTTAAAAAAGTGAACAAAGGACACCTGGGTAGCTCAATCAGTTATGTGTCCAACTCCTGATTTCGGCTCAGGTCATAATCTCACAAATTAGATTGTGAGATGGAGCCCCGTGTTCGGCTCTGTGCTGAAAGTGCAGAGCCTGCTTGGGATTCCCTCTCTCTCTGCCCCTCCCAAGCACATGCTCTCTCTCAAAATAAACAAACATTAAAATATGAGAGAGGGGCGCCTGGATGGCACAGTCATTAAGCTTCTGACTTCGGCTCAAGTCATGATCTCATGGTTCGTGAGAGCCCCACATCAGATGAGCTAGTGCCCCGCTTTAGGTGAACATGAGCCCTGTTTGAGGTGAGCCCTGTTTCTCTCTCTCTCTCTCTGCCCCCTCCCCAACCCTCATGGGATTCTCTCTCTCTCTCTGTGCCCCTCGCTCACTTGAGCCCTCTCTCAAAAAAACACGACTTAAAAAATAAAAATAAAACTGACCAAACAGGTTAAGAGTTACAAAGTGACATAAAAATCCAAGTCTGAGGGCACCTGGGTGGCTCAGTTGGTTAAGTGTCTGACTTCAGCTCAGGTCATGATCTCACAGTTCCCGAGTTCGAGCCCCACATTGGGCTCTCTGCTGTTAGCACAGAGCCCACTTTGATTCCTGTCTCCCTCCCTCTCTGCACCTCCGTAGCTCTCATGTGATGCGCTCACTTGCTCTCTCTCTCTCTCTCAAAAATAAACATTAATAAAATAGGGGCTCCTGGTAGCTAAGTCGGTTGAATATCCAACTTTGGCTCAGGTCATGATCTTGCAGTTCATGGGTTCAAACCCCACATCAGCCTCACAGCTGTCAGTGTGGAGCCTGTTTCTGATCATCTGTCCCTCTCTGCCCCTCCCCTGCTCCTACACTCACTCTCTCAGAAATAAAAAATTTTTAAAAATGTCATTTACATTTGAAAATAACAAACTTCCCACGGGGACAACTGCTTTCTGGGATATATGTGTATCATTTATATATAAATGATAATATTTATATCACTTATAAATTTCCAAATTCAACTTATCAAGTGGAAGTCATGTAGCTGTGCTAACATCAGAAGGCGTCTGATTGTGCTGGTTGGGCTGGCTGCCCCAGCAATGCCTTCCTCTCAGACACTTCCACTCGCTCAACTGTGTTAGAAGATGATCTTCACAGAAGACTACCTTGCTGAACAGTAAGGCCCCAAATTGGAGCCCACAGACATGTTGTGTGTGGCCTACACAGTGTTTCTAGAAGGCCAAATTAGCTGCCAATATATAAAAAACAGGATACTTCACATAGGAATGCAGATTTTCAGCTTCTCTTGAAAGCCCAAAAACTTTGGCCACACTGGACTCCCATCGTGCAAGAGAATAATGAATAGGGCACGTGCTCTCCAGTTCACCAGGGTCCCCGTCACCCTCTACCTTCTCTCCAACTCTGATTTAAGTGCCAGTTACACTTTGTTACTGCACTTGTGCTGTTATTTCTTACAATGGAGTTAGAATATAAAACGTTTCCAGTACCCATGTGACAATCAGAACAGGAAAATAAAGCAATGAAAAAGACCATGTGTTTGAAGAAAAATGCAAACCTATTTCCTTGTTAAAATGAAAAAATATTCCTGTATTTTTTTTTTAAGTTTATTTATTTTGAGAGAGACAGAGTGTATGACTGGGGGAGGGGCAGAGCAAGGGGGACAGAGGATCCGAAGCGGGCTCTGTGCTGACAGCAGGGAGCCTGATGTGAGGCTTGCAGCCCTGAACCTCAAGATCATAACCTTAGCTGAAGTCGGATGCTTAACCAACTGAGCCACTCAGGTGCCCCTATTCCTGTATTTTAATATGCAAATAATACACATCTCTGTCAAAAAAGTACATAACACAATGTATTTCACTTCTTTATCTTACATGCCTGGATGATATAAGCACCCTGGGTCATAAAAGGAGCTATGTTCCATTCTTCAAAATATTAAACATAGAATTACCACATGATCCAGCAATCTCACTTCTGGGTATACACACAAAAGAACTGAAATCAGAGTCTTGAAGAGATATTTGCACACCCATACTCAGAGTAGCGTTATTCACAAGCACCAAGATACAGAAACAACCCAAATGCCCATTAACAGATGAACAGAAAAATAAAATGTGGTATATACATACAATGGAGTATTATTCAGCCTTAAAAAGGAAGGATATTCTGATACATGTGAGAACATGAATGAACATGGAGCAAATGATGCTAAGTAAAATAAGCCAGTAACAAAACACAAATACTGTATGATTCCACTTACATAAGGTACTCAGAATAGTCAAATTCATTAGAGACAGACAGAAGGATGGTTGCCAGGGGGAGGGGAAAAAGGGGAGGAGTTGTTTAATGGATATGGAGTTTCAGTTTTGCAAGATGAAAAGAAATCTAGAGACTAGCTGTACAGCAATGTAAATGTACTTAACACTACTGAACTGTACACTTAAAATGTTTAAGACAGTTAAGTTTTATGTTATGTGTATTTTACCACAATTAAAATTTTTAATTAAAAACAAAGTAGCTATGTTCCCCTGAAAAATTTCCCTATTGTATTTCCTGCTCTTTGTTTTTCCTGTAATATTAGTTTGTGAGAATTTTCTAGTTAGGCCCGTTTTCTGGTTTTAAATTAGACTAATCAAGAAAGGGAATCCTGTTATCAAAAAACAAACCTCAAGGATCATTAATGGATGCTAAGACCATTAAGTGAAAGGTTATTAAGTAACAGGATATACGTATGTTGCTAGAATATCACCTTACAGGTTACCTGCTAATTACAAAGAGGGAAAAATTTTTATCTCTTACAATGGTGAGATCTGGTGGACACCATCTTACCAAATAAGCAAACTTGGCATCATTAATTGTGGGACAAACTAATATGTGCTTCTTGCTTTGATACAATATGAAATATATAGCGTACCCTATAAAGTTTTCTTGGTGAAGTCAGCTAGGAGTCTGACTTCGGCTCAGGTCATGGTCTCGCAGTCTGTGAATTCGAGCCCCGCACTGGGCTCTGTGCTGACAGCTCAGAGCCTGGAGTCTGCTTCGGATTCTGTGTCTACCCCTCTCTCTACGCCCTTCCCCCACTATGCTCTGTCTCTCTTGCTCTCAAAAGTAAATAAAAACAAAAAAAATTGATGTGAATCTAATCAAGCCAACAGACCTAACTTCCAGTTTGGTCTGGAAATACAGGGGAAACACTGTATAAGAAAACTGGCCTGGTCTCATCAATAAAGAAAATCTGAATACAGACTGGATGTTAGGTATTAGAGACTTATTAATTTTCTTAGGTGTGATAATATCATTATTATGTATCATTATATAGGAGAACGTCCTTGTTCTTAGGAGACACATAATGAACTATTTAGGAGAGTACCATGATGTCTGCAACTTCCTTTCAAATAGGTTAGGAAAAAAAAATGTGTGTCTGTACATATATCTATGTATACATATATAAATAGATAAAGCAAATATGGCTAGACTTTAACAGTCATTTAATCTGGGTATATAAGGTATTCACTGTTCTGTTCTTTTAACTTTTCTGTATGTTTAAAATTTTTATAGGAAGCTATGGAAAAATATAAAGGAAGAAAAACAAACGAAGCTCTCTTCTGTAAGAGCCTATTAATGGATTTCCCATTCTACTATCTCTGCATATTCTACTAGTAGTCTCATTAAGTGATTAAAATAAGATAAAAAGTTATAGGAACAACAACAAAAAGAGGAGTAGATAGAAGACTGGAAGATGAAATGGCAAAATGTTAACAGTGATTATCTCTAGCTAATAATTCTGAATTTTTTTTTCTTTTACACATCTAAATATTTTTAGTACAATTTTTACTTTTTATAAGGTTAAAAAAAGTTGTTTTAGGGAATCAGAGACTATCACATACAGTGCAGCATTAGTACAAAACTAGCAAAAATATGTATTGAAGAACTAAATTCACTGTGAATTTGAACAAATCAAATATGACTATCTCAAATAATGTCATAACTTCTCTCACACAACCCCAAACATTAAGCAGAAATAAAGAAACTGGTACGTTTTGGTCCTTCCGTAGGTGGTAAGAAAGTTTCTTACCTCATGTTCTGGGTCAATTCATAATTCTATGGCTTCATATAAGCAGCATTATTTGCAAATATATAGAAAAAGGGCATAAAGAGGACTCACCCTCCACAGACCCCTGGCACCTTCTTGTTGGTATATATCGATAAAGCTGCCAATCATGCTGCCTTGGAACAGACTTCCTTGAGCCTGCATTCGAATCTAAAGTAAGAAGGGGTGAACATTTTGCTTTAACAGAGATCAAAATGAGAGGTTTCACTCATTTAAAATTAAGAAAACAGTATTTGGGAATTCTCAGAAATATTACCGTTGTTCTGATGTAATTAATGACAAACTACATATTTTTAAGATGCAATTTGTGTCAAAGTATATTTTATAAAACTTATCTTCATCAGCCTCACATTCCTTATACTAAATCCATCAATTCTGCAGCTGGAAGAAACTTTGGGGAAAAGAGAACAAGTACTCAGTGAGGATAGAAAATAATTCTTTTAAAATGTGATTAGTTGGGGTGACTGGGTGATTCAGTCAGTTAAGCGTCCAACTTTGGCTCAGGTCATTATCTCACCATTTGTGAGTTCAAGGCCTGCATCGAGCTCTGTACTGACAGTACAGAGCCTGCTTCAGATTCCATCTCCCTCTCTGTCCCACACCAGCCTGCATTCTCATTCTCTCTCTCTCTCTCTCAAAAATAAACAAACATTAAAAAATAAATAAAATATTTTTAAAAAAACACGTGAAAGATTTGGTACAATTCCCTCTTGACTGCACACATAGAATCATAGTAGCCAGTCGCTAAATACTAGTGGCCCAAACATGGGCCTGATTTTCAGGATGCACAACTCTAGATTTCAATAAATGTCTTTGGTAAATCAGGAGACAACAGCATGTTTTTATGTGGAAAGTCAACTGCTACTACTACAAGTTTTGAAATAAAGACCTAAACTCAATTAAATCAGAATAGAAAACTATTACAAAGATAAATCAAAACTACAAATATCCTATGGTAAGTAGGAGACTTCTTTAAGGAAATGATGCCTGAGCAGGACTGGGACTAGGGTGAGGCAAGTATGCCACTTTCCTCTGGCACAAAATGTAGGATGGGGACTCAAAAATACTCATTAATCCAGACAAATAATAATGCAGTATTTCAAAACATGAAAATGAATGCACGAAAACCCACAATGAATCAAATATCAAAAATTTAAAGACAGGATCCAACAGGGTGAGATTAGGGGGAGGTGAGATGAATTATACAAAATATTGATACTTTATTCATCATGAATAATTTTGCATTCAAGTTTTGAAAAATAGTGCATAAAAATGCTATCTCTCTTGATTACTGTTCTGTGCCTCCTTCCATTTTGCATCCATAAGGAGTACCTCATTTGTCTCATCCTAGTCCTGGTCCTGTTCCTGAGCAGCCATGAAGGATAAATTCATGAGGAAAGGGGGAAAAGGCATTACAGTCAGAGAGAGAGCTATATATACAAAGGCAAGGAAGCAACACATAGTAGATCAGAGAAAGAGGTCTCCAAGAATATATGAAAGGACTGAACGGCCCAACTGTGATCATAGATTCTATGTTGGTACCGTCACAGTCTGAGTTTGTGACTCACCCCACCCCCATTCCCTTCAGCCCTAACCCGGAATAAGAAAGGAAAAGGTAGATTCTAGCATGGGTCAATGGTTCCAATTGTACCAGGCAGGAAATTGAAGTGAATCACTTAGGTGATTAATCTGGGATCCACATGGATAAGAAAGGAAGCTTCAGGAGTTAAGTATTATTGTTCTTGAATATGTCAAGTGTAATTATATTGCAAATATTTTAGAGTTTTAGTATACAATCGATTCTCTTCACAAATACTCTGTAAATCTTAAGTGATCAAAATTCTGTAGCTACATTGCTCTCAATTTAACCTAGAAAGATCATATCTTTTCTTCATTAATCATCACTGGTTTCTTTCATGTGTGCTGTTTTTCATGTCACTCTCTTGGTTCTCAAAACTCTGATTGCAATAGATCTCTTTAACCTAGCCACCTATGGTTTCAAATAAATAAAGCACATGTCCTCTTTTTTCTCACATTCACCCTAAAATAACTTTCAAAAGCTTGGGACTCCTCTCACACATTATAGTCATATATTTTAATGCTTTTAATTAAGCATAAGTATGAATAAGTTAATAACTATGTAGAAACTGTTTACCACTTTATGAGATAAAATAAGATGAACACTGGTATTATAAAATAAATGTTTCATCCTGTGTTTTGATAAAATCTGAAAGAAATCCAATTACATTTTTAAAAATCAATACCATTAACCTATACTGTTCTAATTCTGAATTCAGAATATTCCACACAAACCAAAATATGCCATTTAAAAGCCAAATCTCATCCTTAATGGAAATATAGGTAAGACAAGAAAAGATAGATGCATTATAGACTAAGATACCTCAATTAGCTATTAAAGGAGTCTTCTCAAAAAAAACTTTTTTTTAATAATCCCTTTGTTTGGTACCCCAGGTTACACCACTGGTCAATATACCATACTGAGATTTAAAATGGGTTGGGAGTATGCCCTTCTTTTGTAAAGTGGGAAAAGAACTATTAAAAATAAAAACACAAGTTCTTTCTCAGATCAATTTTAGAAGAATATAAATGGAAATAAGGTATCTGAAAACTGGTTCCCTTAAATTTACATAGTCCTTGGAAAAAATCTTATAGAGTTTTGCATACTCTAAAGACCAATGGATTAATGCATATCATAATAAATTGACTACTATTTACTGAACATCTACAATCTACCAAGTATGATACGCACTTTACGTAATCTCTAATCCTAAACAAACCTATGCAACGGTTTGTAAGTACTAAATTATCTTCATCTGACAAATGAGGAAACCAAGGCTTAACACAGTTAAGTGATTTGCTGAAGGTTTTACAGCTGGCAAGTGACAAAGAGGAGATATGACACAAAGTTTATGCTCTTTTCACATCACATTGCATACATCCAATACTACCAGACCTCTCTTACCTTTAGTACATCAGTGGGGTTGGCTATAGTGGAAGATATCACTCCTGACACTACCCCACAGATCATATTGATTAGAAGAGTTTCATCTGTAAAAAGGAAAAAAAAAAATTCTGCTTGTATTAAGTACTAGTTTCTGAGAACAAAGTACTGATCTTTCAGAAGAAGGGAACCCTGGGCAGAGAACTGACTGTAAGAAATGAACCACAAAACTTATGAAAATTTAAAAACTCAAATATTTCTAGATCCCATATCAGCACTGAAACATAAAAATTATAAAATATATATCATTATTTTTTAAAGGCAGTTTTAAAAGACACTGAAACATGTCCTATTATTCTGTATAGAGCAAATGGCAATAACCCACATAATTCAGAATGTGGTATTACTTCCTCAATCATTTCAAACACCTAAAGAAAAATTTTTAAGTCTTTTTCTGGAGAATCAACTCTAAAGACTTAGCAACAGAATTTTAAAAGGTAAAAACTTACGGGTAACAGAAATAAATTACCTAAATATTAATTTTGACTGGCCCTGATATCTACTGGCCTCTATTTATTTACAGGTTTCTGTAGTTCAAATATGACAAACTAGTCATCTGCAACTAAATATACTCAACCAAAAAAAAAAAAAAAGAAGAAACAGAGCATAATGTTATAAAATGAAAATTCCATCTTCACCATGACTCCTTACCATGAAGAGCCTACAAACAGAAACTAGGTAAACCCAAGTGAAGCATTTGTGGGGGAAAAAAAAAAGTATTTTAGGAAGCAAATCCTTCAGAATCCTCAAAGAAGAGGCTCCAGAAAAAGTCAATTTAGGACAATCAAGTAATTCAAAGGATATTACTAATCAAAAGGCTCTCCAGCTATCTATCCCCAACCGTGCAATAGCCCTGTGATAAAATAACCATTTAGTACAATATCAGGTTAGTTAGCAATGATGCAGCAGCAATCATAGAGACATATGATGATGCTGAATGTGGGAAGGTGGCCACAGGTACAACAGAATCTAGAATACTCTAAATTTACTCCACCTAACAAAAGCTTATCAAAACTGGCATCAACTGAACTGTTTATAGTTGAAGTCTTTTTGTTGATGAAGACAACGTTAATTTTCTGGACAAACTTGTCCATGTTCCCTCTGTGGATGACCAGGAACCTTTTTTTTTTCTTTGACAGGAAAAGGGACAAACTTAAAGAGCAGGTCCTTCTAACTCATATATCACTCCTGCAAGAATGAATTCCAAGTCAGTATGAGCTCATTTTGTCCTTGCAGTGACTATCACCCACTCTCAAGCATCCCATGATGAATGCTTCTCAGTAAGCATGATTTGATAATCCCTGTGAGTATTACCCCAAAAGAGAAGGAGTATATACTGACCTTCTAGACGTTCTACAAATAATCTCTTCAAGCTTTGGTAAATGCCAATTTTGATGGTGCCATATGATGCCTGTCTTAGTAAAGCAGGAGCGATTCTGCCAAAAAAGAAAGAAAAGTCAATTATACTCAACATGCACTTACAGATTATACATATTTAGTCTACTCATTTCCATTACTCACCTCATTCCACTCAACTAACTTCAGAATATTCATTTATTCAAGCACTGTGGAACATTCACCAAGAGAGAGCCCATTTGGATCATAAAACAAAACTCTATAATTATTTTTAAGTTTATTTATTTATTTTGAGAGAGTGAGCAAGAGAGTGAGCAAGTTCAGGGAAGAGGCAGAGAAAGAGGGAGAGAGAATCCCAAGCAGCACAGAGCTCGACACAGGACTCAAACCTACAAGCATGAGATCATGACCTGAGCCAAAATTAAGAGTCAGACACTTAACCAACTGAGACACCCAGGCACCCCAAAACTCAGCAAGTTTAAAAGAACTGAAGTCATAAAGAATATGTTCTCTGACTATAATGGAATCAAACTAGAAAGCAATAAGGAAAATCTTCAAACACTTGGAAATCAAACACATTTCTAAATAGTCCATGGTTCACAGGAAGCCTTAAAGGAAATTTTAAAAATACACAGAACTGAATGAAAATTAAAGCTGAACCTATTAAAATATGTGGGGCACAGTGAAAACACAGCCAAAGCAATGCTGAGAGGGAAATTTATGTCACAAAATGCTTACATTAGAAAGGAGGGAAACTCTCAAATCAATAATCTAAGTTTCTAACTCAAGAAACTAGAAAAAGAAGAGCAAAATAATCCACAGCAAACAGAAGGGGAAAAAACAATAAAGAGCATAAATTAATAAAATTAAAAACAGAAAAATAGAGAAAAATCAATGAAACAAAAAGCCATCTCTTTTGAAAAAAAAATCAGTAACATTGATAAATCTCTAGCAAGGCTCACAGTAATAAAAAGAGAGAAGATGTAAGTCACCAATATCAGGAATGAAACAAGCAACAGCATTACAAACTCTGCAGCCATTAAAAGGATATACAACTTTATGCTCATAAATTCAACTCAGAAGAAATGGATTAATTCCTCAAAAACTACAAACTACCATTCAAGTGAAATAGATAAAAATATGGGAATCATCAAAAAGATGAAATTAGATAATCTGAATAGTCTCATAACAATTAAAACATTTTAATTTATAACTTAAAAGTTCCCAAAAAGGAAATCTCTAGGCCCAGACAATTTCACTAGGGAATTCTACCAAGCATTTAAAAAGTCAATACTAATCTTACATAATCTCTTCCAGAAATAAGAGGGGATACTTCCCAATTCATTTTATGGGGTTAGTATTAGCCCAATACCAAAACCAGACAAAAAGGAAAAACTACAGGTCAATATCTCTCATGAATTTAGATGCAAAAATCCTTAACAAAATATTAGCAAATTGAATCTAGCAATGTAGGAAAAGAAGTACACACCATTATTCACCTCAGAGAGATGTTTTAAAAATCAACCTTACCTCCTAACAGTTGTACATACATCGTTAATCAAGGAGATACTAGAGCCAAGATTTCACCCTATTTAAGTTCTGCTTATAAACTGAAGACATTCTCACTCATACCCCCTTTGAGATTCTTCCAAGTTGCAGAACTATATTTTAGTAGTTATAAATAGAAAGATGACAGCAGCTTGGATGGTTAATATTTTAAAAATGATGACTAAATATGCATATTTCTGACGTAACTGCTTGCAATTAGAAAAAAATAATCTTGTGATTATACATGCTGATTAAAGAACAAGGTGAAACAGATGATCAATGATTCACTTGCTACAGGACGTATTACTTGGATTTTTTTCCCTAATAAAATTGTCTTTTAAAATTAAGTCTAACATAGGTTAATAACAAAATTGATGTCCCTTCTATGGGCAATAAACTGGTAACCTAGATGCAAGAGTGGCCTAGGAAACTGGCAGCAGATACACGACAAAATGGACAATAAACCACAAACCTACAGCTAATTAAAAATTGACAAAAAATAATCGGTCTCTCTCACATTCTGCATTTTATGCTTAAACTACCAGAATAGTATTTCTTTAAAGAGGAAAATGTTAAAAGAAGTACTTGGCAATTCAGGAAGAATACCACAGAAATATAAGCAGTTAATTGGTGCTGCTATTGATCACAGGGGCTATTGATGACTCTCAGAAAAACAGGAGAAAGCTAATGCTCCAATGAGATGCCCATTTTATTTTTTTTCTTTCGTAGTTTATTGTCAAATTGGATTCCATGTAACACCCAGTGCTCATCCCAACAAGTGCCCTCCTCCATGCCCATCACCCCCTTCCCCTCTCGCCGGTCAGAGTGGCTAAAATGAACAAGTCAGGAGACTACAGATGCTGGCAAGGATGTGGAGAAACAGGCACCCTCCTACACTGTTGGTGGGAATGAGATGCCCATTTTAAAATGTATCACTTATACCATGTGTTTGCATGTATATGTGGATTAGGAGGAACTTAACGGAGGACCATGAAGGAGAAGAAGGGGGAAACAGTCGGGGAGAGGGAGGGAGGCAAACCATGAGAGACTCTTGAATGCTGAGAACAAACGGAGGGCTGATGGGGGTAGGGGAGAGGGGAAGGGGGGGTGAGCATGGAGGAGGGGACTTGTTGGGATGAGCACTGGGTGTTACATGGAATCCAACTTGACAATAAACTATTTAAGAAAAAAAATAAATAAATAAATAAAAATAAAATGTATCACTTAAAGCCAGATGAACACAAAATCCAAAGCTCAAGACTTACAAGCAAATGAAATAGAAACTGGCACATAAATACTGAATTACAAGTTGGAATAGTGAATATGAAGGTCACACACTATCAGAATGTTGAAATACATGGCTTCTTTAAAAAGTGTTTTCGGGTGCCTGGGTAGCATAGTCAGTTAAGCCTCTGACTGCAACTCAGGCCATGATCTTGCAGTTCATGGGTTCAAGCCCCATGTCCAGCTCTGTGCTCACAACTCAGAGCCTGGAACCTGCTTCAATTTCTGTTTCTCTCTATCCTTCCCTCACTCATGCTCTCTCTCTCTCTCAAAAATAAACATTTTCTTAAAATTTAACAAAGTGTTTCTATTCAAGTGATAAGGAAAGAATCCAGTCTCACCCAGAATACAAAGCCAATACGCCTTCTTCTTTATAGATTCGGAACAAGGCATGAAACATTCCTCGGTATTTTATCTCTTTAAAACGGACATCAATGCTTTGGCCCTGAACTTGAAGACGTGTTTTGGTCAAGTCCACAGGGAAAGTTCCTATGAAAGAACACACTGATTTATAAGTTTCTCCAAAGAGTTACAGTTAAACTTTGGCTGAATTTAAGTCAATGACAATTTGAAAACATAAGACAAAATTCTTTTTATAACACGTAGGGGATATCTCTACTAAGAGTACCACTGTCAGAAGAGTCATGTATGGTAAAGTGAAATATGCTGTACTGTATCTAGGCAGTAGGATTTGGCCCACAGTATATTTAAAACTGTGATATAATAAAATGTTTTAATATGGTCCTAATATACTGCAAGTGCAAAATAACTTAAATGAGGTTTTAATTTCATCTGTAACATAATACAGTTTGGCATTTGAATCCTCCTCTGCACCCCCCAACCTTGACTCCTCACTTCTTCATAAATCTCTCCAATTTTTCACAAAGAAGATAGGAAAGCATGGGATTGGTGTTCCAGGTACTCTTATATACTATTACAAAGTTCTGTGGGGGGTTTTCCTTTTATCTGTTTACAAGAAACAAATAGTTCCCTAATGTTATGAAAGATAATAACAAAGTCCTATTTGGCTGACTCATCTTAGTTCCTAGCTAATTCTGGACTAATACAGTGCTTGGGAAATGTCTTCAACTAAACTTCTTTTATTATGTCAACACACAAAAGTGGTCATGACATTGACAAAATATGTTGCAGGGAATATTTTGAAGTCTAAAACTAACAAGGTGATTATGTAGCTATAGTCACTAATGACCTTGGTATCATAACACGAGAGCATTTTCCAAGAAAGTAAACAAAGATTAATGGGTTGGAGTCACTTATGAATAGTTTAGGAAAGAAAGAAAATTTGGAAGATGAAAAAACACAATCTAAAAAATATTTCAAAATTAAAATCAAATAGAGAAGAATCTATTTTGACCTTATTAGTCAACTTTCTTCTAAAACGGGACAGAGGTTTCAAAAAACAGAAGTCTGGAGGCATCTGGGTGGATCAGTCAGTTAACAGCCAACTTCAGCTCAGGTCATGATCTCACAGTTCGTGAGTTCGAGCCCCCCACTGGCTCTGCATTGACTGTGTAGAACCTGGTTCAGATTCTGTGTCTCCCTCTCTTTCTGCCCCACCCTCCACTCGAGCTTTGTCTCTCTCTCTCTCTCTCTCTCAGCATAAATAAACTTTAAAAAAGAAAATAAATAAAGGAGTCTGAATACTAAGAAAGCTATAAACAACTTAATACAAAAATATAGCAGAAACCCCTATATTATCTAACTCCCTTTATCTTTTCATGTACATTACTTAAATCTAGAGCAAATTAACAAATCATTAAACTATCAAAAAAATCTTCCTAAGTTTGATTTTTATTATTAAAAAAAATTTTTTAACATTTATTTTTGAGTGACAGAGGCAGAGCACGAGTGGGAGAAGGAAGAGAGAGAGGGAGACAGAATCTGAAGCAAGCTCCAGGCTCTAAGCTGTCGGCACAGAGCCTGATGCAGGGCTCAGACCCATGAACACTGAGATCATGACCTGAGCCAAAGTCAGACACTTAACCAACTGACACCCAGGTGCCCCATTTGACTCTTCTTAACCTCACTCACTATACCATTAGTACTTTCTCAGAAAATATTACTTGATAGATTAGAGACAATAGTCTTTAGCACAAAGAGAGTGAGCTTCTTTTCACTTTTTCTCTAATTTTCACCAAAAATAACTGTCACCATAAACTACCATCTATACCTTAAGAAGCAGATTTGTCAGTTTTCACATTCTTACCAAACTCAGCAACAATAGAGGCAAGGCCGCCATATACAAAGGGCTTCCAATTCAGACCAGACATCTCATGGCTTACAGCAGCACTTTTCTGTGGCTAAAAATAAACACGTATCAGAACAAGGCACAAAAGTGAGGACCATTTGTTAGTGTCTGATCACATTATTTATATCAACAAAATATAAACAATAAAGCAGATGTAGAGGAAACACCCTACCAAGTGGAATGAAACAAAATGGGGGACCCTGTTTTATGTACTGGATGATCATGAATGTGTTCTTTACTGCCACTCTGTATGGGTAGGCGTGCAATTCCCTCAAAGATCAACTTGTGCCCTTCCTTCTCTAATTTCTTTAATGTTATCCATATCCCCACCTAAAGATGATGTTTCAGTCCATCCAGCACAACCAATTTAGACATTCGACCAGACAATTACAAGTAAAGGAACCTGGAGTTCAAATTATATAGGCTGAGGCATCTCATAAAAGCAGTTCATGGTATTCAGTTAGCTTGATTCAGGTGCAAAGCAAAGGCTGACACCACTACCCTCTCATATTCTTAGCCCTCTCATCTCTCCACTGAACTTCAGGGTTTTAATTCATCTAGCTACTTCTAGCTAGACACAGCTTCTCCCCACAAAGCCCAAGCTGAGCTAAGTACCTTTTCATCTTCCTTCTAGTTCCCAGAGGAAAAAATAATATAAATGATGTCTCTCTTCTCTCTGACATTTAACTTAGATCCATCTAGTGAATCTCTTTTTCCTTGGCCTCTTTAAAGCAAATACATACAAATAATGTTTTTCTTTGATGTTCTAACTCTTTAACAGTGTATTCTTCTCCCAGCCCCCTTGCCTTCTTCCCCATCCCGCCCTCATTAGACCGGTCATCTTCAATCTTTTCATTTTTGTCCTTCCTATCACTCAGCTATTTCTCTTGGATTTTCCCCCCACAGTTCTGTCCTCTAGATCAGTGGTTTTCCAATTTTAGGTGCACTAGGATATCTAACAGGGGGATTAAAACAGAGTGTTGGGCCATCCTCTGAATTTCTGATTAGTGGTCTGGTCCAGCCCGAGAATATGCAAGTTTCCAAATAATGCTGGTGCTTCCACCCTTTAAGAACTACTACTGTTCTATGTATCGCCTACTAAATCCTGGTCCAGCTGCAAGTTATCTTTTAAGATAGACTCTCAGAATTCTTTTAAATATTCCTTTTCCAGAACTTCACAGTATATATACTATTGAATTTCGAAAACATCGTCCAATGTTTTATGGTCAGGAATAAAGACTCTGAAATCGGACTACTTAGCTTCAAATCCCGACACTACCACTTACTAGCTCTATGACCAAGTTACTTAACCACTCTATGCCTGGGTTTTCTAACTGTAAAATGGGGTAATAATAAATCCTGTATTAGAGGGTTGTTGTGAAAATTAAATAATATATGTAAAATACCTGAAAAAGTGCCCAGCACCAGTACAACTATTTTTTTTTAAGTTTATTATTGCATGCTCTTCACACTGAGCCAGCCAGGCACCCTCTGGTTCAACTACTGGCTATGGTCATTATTACATTTTGTAAAGTACTCAAATTTACATTTTAACAGATATTACTTGCTGCCCACCTCCCCCACAGCCCAATCTTAGGTTAGCACCACTGAGTCAGTCTCTTTTTAGAGGAGACAAGGTTTTACTTTATTTCCCCAGAAGGAAATCTCTGTAACTAAGCAAAAATGAACAATTTCCCAAAAGAGAATAGCAAACATGCAGACAAATGTTTTAGTTAGAGGCCACAAAAATAATTATGGAAACTTCCTTTCAAGCTTAGTGTGATCAGCCAGTCCATCTGATATACAGAGTCTGGAACAGATAGCTCTTTTGGAGGAAAGTTATTGAAAGGAATTCTGAAAAGCAAAGTAGGAATAGGCACTTCCAATACCAGCTACAGTGTGAAATGAGTCTTGAGTACTAAATATTATTATTTTCAGTTATGCCCACATTTTATTACAATTAACAGTAATACATGACACATACGGCGAGAGGGTAAGCATGGAAAAGCAAGGACCATGACATATCCCCTCTCTTAGTTTGGTCAATGGAGAGGGCATTTTCCCCAAAAAATTTAGAGATTTCCCAAAACAGTCAAGCATTTTAAATGGCTGCTATGCTTCTCTCCAACGATTTCAACTTCTTTCAACTCATCTCATTACACAGAAAGCCTCTATCAGAACTTTATTACCTACTACCCAGACTTTTAATAAGGAAGATGGGCTCAGGGAACAGTAATAATAAATCAATTAAAGGCAGGGAGCAGAGCCATAGCAGGGAATGGAATCTCAAGTTAGCCAGCCCAGTGGTTTCTTAATGAAGTGTTCACAATTCTGATGTGAAATGAAGAAAATAAGGGCACCTAGTGCCTTTTTCTTCAGCCGAATGTATTTAACTTAAAGGACTATCTATTAGGAAGTTACTTTCTTCCTACTCCTGGAGCATTTTTTAAAACCACCTTTCTTGTATGAAATATAGTTGGTAGTTGACTTTGTTTAGTGGCTTTCTTAGCAACATAAGACTGGCTACCTTAATTTATGCCTCTTTCCAACACTTTCATTTAAATATTATTGCTCCATGAAATTCAAAATTCTGGGGACCACTAGCCAAATTCGACACTGCCACCTCCCCAGCCCCATCTGACAGTAAAATCCCTTTACCTCCACAAATGCTAGGAAAGAATCTTGTTAGAAAAAAGTCCTTTATCATCTTTATTTAGGTCTGAGTTTAAAACTTCTATCCTCATACTGAGCCAAAAGTACGCCTTCTTATAGTTTTCTCCTATTTGGGGAGGTAATATTAAATGAATGTATTCTTTTTCCCTACAGGGTCCTTCAAGTATTTAAAGACAGCTATCATGCTCTCCTACATCTTATCTTTCTCAGGGTAAACACCCACAATAATTTTCATCACTCATTATACTATACTTCAATTACTACAGCTGAAAACTGCAGTCGCTTTTGTTGGGGGTACTATCACACTACTGAATCATTAAAATGTCACCTTAAAATCTTTAATTCTTTTATGTGAGGCTGTATATACGCGTGCATGTCATGTCATACCTATTCCACAGCTGTGCAATGTTTTTTGAACCTTCATTTACCCCCTTGTATATCTTAATTTCAGGCCCACAGGATGAGGTTTATCTTCCAGTGGCTTCATGTTATTTTCTCTATTAACTAGCTACAATCCCTAAAGGCAAACACCATGTCTCACAGTACTTTTCATAACCCTTAGAATATCTTGCACAGAACTGGATACACATTAAATACTTGATTGGTTCCAGTGTAATGTCCCTTATCTATGTACACGTAAAAGATTATGTGAGAACTTAGAAAGTTAACTTGCTGGACCAGAACAATGCTACACTCTGTAAACAACATTTTATTTTTGTTAATCCTCAGAGGTTCTCTGCCTAATTCTCTTCTGTTGCTTTTGTTGCAGAGAACTGCTTGTGTAAAAGACCCCAAGCACACTAAAAATGATTTTTACTTGTGGGGGCTATCCCCAGATATGGGTTAAAGGAAACAAGTCACATCTGAGTTAAAACAGAAACCTTAAATATTCATCACATAAAGAAGCCAATGAAAATGTCTTTAAAATACAAACATGTATTCTGAAGTCTAAGAAAAATCTGATAGCCTAAAGAGTGGGAAGAAAGTCCTAGAATACAAATTACATAGCCCTATGCTACTCCAAAGATCTGCTTTTCTCGCTTTCTCCTTTTAAAAAGAGTAGACATTACAGATACTCAGACTTGGGAGGTATTAATAGAGAATGAAGCAAATATTTATTGAAAGCATACAAAATGCCCAAACCTGCAACATGCTATGAGTATAAACCTCATGTTAAGGAAAAAAGAAAAAACAGAATACATGCTCTAACATCAGGATGGTATTCATCATTCAATCTATCTTTCCTAGATAATCAAGGAAATTGGAATCGGGATAAAGTTGTATGAAATACTGTACTTGCCTTTCAAGAGCTTACAGTCTGGTGGAAGAAACCAAAGTTGCTCATTAGAGAAAACTTAAGTATTAAATTATATGGTACAAATCGTGAAAAGCAAGAACATGGTAAAGGAGACAATCAGCATGGGCCTGATACTTTGAAAGGCTTGTGGCAGTGAGAGAACATAAAATGGGCCTTGACAAAGTGCAAGTAGAATGAGGATAGGTCTAGGTTAAGGGAGGGGTGAAGGAGGAAAAGATGAACAGAGAAACAAATGCAGGGGGGCAGGGGAGGAAGCACAGCATGCGGAGGCAGGCTTCAGTATATAGCTTGTTTTGAGGAGGAAAAGTGCAACCTAACCTGAACAGAGAATTCTCTTAACAGATTGAAACAATTATCAGACAAGAAGCATGATAAGGAAAAGGTTAGTCTGAAAGGCTTGAAACCAAAATGTGTGTGGGATACTGTAAGGTTTTGAACAGGGAAGGGACTTCGGGAAATCCACCACATTTTAGTTAGCCTACTTGGGCTGCAGCAAGCAGTGTATTACAAATGGGAGAAGCCAGGAAACTAGCTTAGGATGCTCTGAGGCAAAGCTGACGAGAAGCAAATCTGACAATGAGGTTAGAGACAAACTTCTAAAATGGAGACAAAGGAACTTGATGATGTAGGGAATGAAGACAAGAGTTCACAATGACTCTAAGCATCCCTAGCCTGGAAAAATCAAGGAAACACTGACAGCAAACTACAAACGTCCCTGCTGTTTGTTACCTTATCTGAGAAACTAATTCATGTTGAGAATGGCTGTCATCCCAATTAGTTAGCTGAACTGCATTTTAACAGATGCCTTCAATGCCTTGACCTCAAGGAATGGCAGGGGGTAGAAACTGACAGGGAGCATCTTTTAACAGCATCCCTCACACTAACACAATGGAGGTGTTTGCTTACTCCGCTTACAATCACGGCCGCCGTTGCAAACTTCACCCTTAGAAAAATTAGGATTATTCCAGGAAAGATACCCATTCACCCTCTGGGTAGCAGGATCTTGCCAGTTCCTCAGCTGTCAGAGCGAGTTCGTGGAGAGAAGGGAGGCGCCTGAAGAAGGCGGCCTCCCAAGGGGGTCGAGGAAGCAGGGTTCAATCGAAGAAGTAAAACCACCGGTGCCAGAAGAGTGAAAGACAGGGAAGGGACTCAGCTGAGGGGAGAGAGAGATCAAAGGACCGTTAAGCCCCTCCCAGGCCGGGAACCAGGCCAGCCCGGCCCCGCGCGGCCTGGCGCGGCCCAGCCCCGCTCCCCAGCCTGGATGTCCAGGAGCTCCCCCTCACCTGCTCAGGCTCATCGGACGACTGGGAAGCCGAGGCTCCCACAATCGGAAGCGGCACCGCAACGCCAACCCGGAAGCATTGAAACCAACGGAAGTAACCAAGTAGTTGCCTCGGCAACGGTGGTGGCTCCGGCATTCCAACACCGCCTCCTCAAAGCCTAGAAAAGAAGGTGCAAAATGAGAGGCGGGAACTACAGGGATCTAAACAGGGAAGTTGAGCAGGCTGCGGGTGCAAAGGCCCAGAAAGGGCAACCTGACTTTCGGGCGGTATAGGGAGAAGAACGAAGGCGTGACAATTTGACAGCTTCTGCAGTTCACGGGCTCGCCAGATGGGGGCAGACAAATCGCCTCGTTCCCGCGTTGCTACGCAACTGGCGCGTACTAGGACTACAAAGGGGGAGGGGGTTGCGGCACATACTAGGAGTAGCGGGTGGTGGGGGGCGTGTTTAGGACTACGGAGGGGGGAGGCAAGAAGAGTGGGGCCAGCCAAACCGAAGGGACGCGACGGGCCTTGCGACCGTAGTGAAGGGGCGGGGCGAGGCGCCTGCGCGCAAAGTACGAAAAAGGAGGGAAAGTGAGGGGGGCGGGGCAAAGGAGTTAAAAGTAGGAAAATGAGGATAAGGAGTGAGGGGTATTTGGTGAAGTGTCCTAAGTCGTTAAGGAAATAAAGATCAGGGCGCCTGGGTGGCTCAGTCGGTTAAGCGTCCGACTTCGGCTCAGGTCATGATCTCGCGGTTCGTGGGTTTGAGCCCCACATCAGGCTCTGTGCTGACGGCCAGCTCAGAGCCTGGAACCTGTTTCAGATTCTGTGTCTCCCTCTCTCTCTCTCTGACCCTACCCTGCTCGCTCGCTCGCTCTCTCTTTCAGAAATAAATAAAACATTAAAAATTTTTTAAGGCTTTTGTTTTTGTTTTTATTTTTTTAAATGCTTTATTTATTTCTAGGAGAGAGACAGAGAGAGAGACAGCGTGAGCAGGGGAGGGTCAGAGAGAGAGAGGGAGTCACAGACTGAAACAGGCTCCAGGCTCTGAGCTGGCAGTCAGCACAGAGCCCGACGCGGGGCTCGAACCCACGAACGGTGAGATCATGACCTAAGCGAAAATCAGACGCTTAACCGACTAAGCCACCCGTGTGCCCCAAAAATTTTTTTAAAAGAAAAGAAAGACCAAGTAAGTAAATAAACCTCAACACGGACTAGACGCCAGGTATTAGCGACTGAGGACTCAGACGCAGGCCCTGTTCTCAAAGCACACGATTGAGAAAAAGCGGATTGGAAACAGAATGTAGGGCCATAAGAAGTTAAAGAGTCTCAAGAGCAGAAATGCTAACGGGAATCCAAATTACTCTGTACCTCACAAGCAGCCGGAGAAGGACAAGCAAACCGGTTGACCGCGCCCGACGAACGGCTCTGGCTCTAGGCCCCCGGTACCGGAAGGAATGGTTGCAAAGCACCCTGGGTAATTCGGTTGGCCAATAGACTACATTTGATTTTTAAACCTCACACGCGAAAGCTCCATAATCACGCGAGGATACGAAACAACGGGGCTTACGTGGCGAGCACAAGTAAAAGCAGATGAATGCCAAGAACATGGCCCTAAGTGATTGTCAAATTAATAAATATTCAGAATACTTTTGTTGTGAAAGGATCCTTCTCTCTTGAGTTAACACCTTGGTTTTTACCCCTATTAAAAAATTTCTTCTAGGGGCGCCTGGGTGGCTCAGTGGGTTAAACGCCCGGCTTCGGCTCGGGTCATGATTTCGGGGTTCGTGGGTTCGAGCCCCGCGCCAGGCTCTGTGCTGACTGCCAGCTCAGAGCCTGGAGCCTGTTTCAGAGTCTGTATCTCCCTCTCTCTCTGACCCTCCCCTGCTCACGCTGTGCCTCTCTTTCAGAAATAACTAAAACATTAAAAAAATTTTTTCTTCTAGCAGCAAACATAATACCACCTGACGGAGAACGGTTACCAAGCACGTTGCAAATAGCTTCATGTGCAGATAACTACTCAATGAGACAGATACTATTAATTTCCCCTTTTGGTAGATGAGAAAACTGAGGTCTTAAGAAGGTAATAGGGTAAGTCGGTAAATCGCAGAGGGGGGATTCAAATTTGACTCCTAACCACCATGCTATACTGCTCTCAACTTTAATAATACCCTTGTTGGGGCGCCTGGGTGGCTTAGTCGGTTAAGCGTCCGACTTTCGCTTAGGTCATGATCTCGCGGTTCGTGGGTTCGAGCCCCGCGTCGGGCTCTGTGCTGACTGCCAGCTCAGAGCCTGGAGCCTGTTTCGGAGTCTGTGTCTCCCTCTCTCTCTCTGACCCTCCCCCGCTCACGCTGTCTCTCTCTCTCTCCTAGAAATAAATTAAAAAATATTTAAAAAAAAAAAATAATACCCTTGTTACCTTCAAAAACTTTCTTACTAACAATAGATAATATAAACACCACGTGCATGCATTCCAAAATGTGAATTCCCTTGATTTACATCTCAGCAAAACACTCTCTTCCAAAGAGGGTCGTAGCTTAGAATCCGTATTCGGAAGAACTGTACTCTCTATAATAATGTGAATTCTATGTCGCCAGCGGGGGTCTGGTCCTGTCCCTCACATCCAGGTCACCGAACCTTGCAGAATTTAGGCCCCCTGTGTAAGCAAATCACTCTTAACTTTTCTACAAGACTGCATTTTTGCCTCTTCAGCCACTGGCACCACCAGCTAATCTCACTGACCACCAAGATAAACCTGTTAAGAGGAACTTTGTTTTCAAATGATTTATTTTAAAAGTTCTACAATAGATTAATTTGAAATAGCATTTGTAGCACCATTATAAACACATACTACACTTTTATTTAACACATTTTCTATTTGACTGCTTAGTTTGTTTCCAACATTTTCCTAAAACATAAAAAAGATCTAATCTTCATTATCAAAGTTGGCCATTTTCCTTTTTAATTACCTTCTATTTCTAGTCCCTATCACACAGATCAGTATTTGATTATACTCGGTCTTCTATTATGCCTGAATTCTGATATCTCCAAGAGATCAAGTATTGAAGAAGATAGAATACTGGAGTCTTCAAGTTGGAAGGAGACTTAGAGGTCATTTCTGTAATATTCATTATGAACAGTTATTCAGTCTCTGCTAGAATACTTCCAGTGTAAGTACACATCACAAGTCAGCCATTACACTATTTTTATTCAAAGACACAAGAAAGTGAAAAGGCAAGGTACAGACTGGGAAAAGAGATTTTTAATCCATATGTCCTACATAATCTCACATCCAGTATAAAGAACTCCTAAACTCAGCAATAAAAACACAGGCACCTTGGGGCGCCTGGGTGGCTCCGTCTGTTAAGCAATTGACTCTTGATTTCAGCTCAGATCATGATCCCAAGATTGTGGACCAAGCCCCATGTTGGCCTCTGCACGGAGTGTGGAACCTCCTTAAGATTCACTTTCTCCTTCTGGACCTCTCCCCCACTTGTGTGCAGTGATCTCTCTCGAAAAATTATTTTTAATTAAAAAAAAAACCACAGGCAACTCAGTGTGTATATAGGATATTATTCAGTCATAAAAAAGAATGTGATCCTGCCGTTTCTGACAATATGGATGGATCTAAAGGGTTTTATGCTAAGTAAAACAAGTCAGAGAAATACCAATCAATACCATATTATTTCAATTATGTTTTTAAGTTTAGTTATTTACTTTGAGAGAGAGAGAGATCAGGGAAGGGGCAGAAAGAGAGAGGGAGAGAGAGAATTCCAAGCAGGCTCCACAGAGACCGACATGGGGCTTGAAACCATGAACCGTAAGATCATGGCCTGAGCCAAAATCAAGAGTGGGATGCTTAACCAACTGAGCCACCCCAGCGCCCCTGATTACACTTATATGTGGAATCTAAAAAACAGGGGAGCCTGGGTAGCACAGTCCATTAAGTGTCTGACTTCAGTTCAGGTCATGATCTCATGGTTCGTGAGTTCCAGCCCCAAGTTGGGCTCTGCGCTGACAGGTTGGAGCCTGGAGCCTGTTTCAGATTCTGTGTCACCCTCTTTCTCTGCCTTTCTCTGGCTTGTGTTCTCTCTCTCTCTCACAAAAGTAAATAAACAAGCATTTAAAAAAAAGAATTTGAAAAACAAACAAAAAACCCAAAGAGTCATAAATATAGAGAACAAAACCGGCGGTTGCCAGAGGCGAGGAGGATTGGGGAATGGACAAAATAGGTGAAGGGGATTAACAGGCACAAACTTCCAGCTATGAAATAAATTAGTCATGCAGATGAAAAGTACAGCACAGGAAATAGAGTCAATAATATCGTAATAACGTTGTATAGTGACAGATGTAAGTACACTTATCACGCTGAGCATTGTGTAAACATATAGAATTGTCAAATCACTATGTTATACACCTGAAACTAATGTAACATTGCATGTCAGTTCTACTCCAAACAAAAAAATTTTTAGGGGGTGCCTGGGTGGCTCAGTTGGTTTAGTGTCCAACTTCAGCTTGGGTCTTGATCTCGCAGTTCGTGAATTGAGCCCCGCATGCTGCGCTGATTGCGTGTCTCCCTCTCTCTGGCCCTCCCCTGCTCATTCTCTCTCTCTCTCTCTCTCTCTCAAAGAATAAATAAACAGTAAAAAACTAAATAATTAAAACTTTTTTCTTATGTCTACATACACACGAAAAAAATGACAGGAAACTCAATTTTTTAATGGGGAAAATACCTGAAATGCACTTCATGAAAGAGTACATCCAAATGATCAATAAGCATATGAATACGTGTTCAATATTATTAGTCAAGTTGAAAATGAAAATTAAAATCACAATACATACCCATCAACATGGCCAAAGTTAAAAAGACTGACAATACAAGGGCGTTGGTGAAAAGCGTCTCAAATTCTTATACACAACTGGTGGATGGCTGTATTAGCTTTCTATTGCTCATAAAGATCACTGCCACAAATTTAGCAGCTTAAAACACCACACATTTATTGTCTTCTGGTTTCTACAGATTAGGAATCCATGCACATCCATGCACAATGGGGTCCTGGGCTCTGGGTCTGACAAAGCTGCAGTCGAGGTGTTTTTATCTCAAGACTTGTTTAGGAAAGAATTCACTTCCAGCCTCACTCAGATTGTTGTGAAATTCCCTTCCTTAAAGTAGTAGCACTGAGGGCTTCAGTTCCTTGCTCGCTGTTGGCCAGAGGCCACTCAGCTCCTGAGGCTGTCCCAGTTTCCTGCAACATGGCCCTTTCCATGGGCAGTTCACAATATGGCCACTAGCTTCTTTCACATCACAGGAGAACGAGGTTTTATCAACACAGAATATAGTGGGACTATTATTTTCCATGATGAAGTCTACACCTATTTTTCAAAATTACAATAGCTTCTTTTCTGATGACAAAAACGTGTATAGTTATCATAAAGCATTTAAATTGTACACAGAAGTGGAAAGAAGGTAAAAATCACCCCAAACCCAAATACCCAAAGGCTACTACTCTTAACAGTGTGAAGAGCCTCCTTCTAGTCCTCTCTCGGGGCATACACACATACTTATGCTATCATCCTCATGATGTGCACGTTTCAGTCACATGCTCCTACAGGGTGGCCTTGTGCTGAAGTCACTGTCTCTGCTACCTCTTATCTATGGTCCTCCCACATTTCCCGAATTTTAAAACTTATGTATCTTTATAGAGGGAAAGGGAAAATATAAAAATCATAAACAAGAAGATAAAAATGCAAAAGAACTAAAATAAAATGTAAACATCTCCCCCACTACCCAGATAACACCATTTACATTTGCATATGTTTCCTTCCAGTCTTTCTATCTTTTACATAATTATATATATACCTCATAAACCTTGCCATACTTCCTGGCTTCTCACCAATCTCACTCCCTCACTCTTTCCCTTGCATCCTGGACAGCCAAACTCTCTTTCCATTTATCCTTTCTATTAGCTTCATGTGTACCAAAACAAGAAAATACTCTTCTAATCCTGTGTCACCCTCCAGATACTGCCCGATCACCTTCCATTCATGACCCTTTAAAATTTTTAAATAATACTTTACTTAACCAATATATCCAAAATAATATCATTTTGGAACATAATCAGTATAAGAAGTATTGATATATTTCACAGTCTATACACTAAGTTTTTGTGTATTTTACACTCACAATCCATCTCAGTTCAAACTAACTTTTCAAGTGCTCGATAGCCACATGTGGTGAGTTGGCCACCACACTGGGCAGAAGAAATCTAATTCATTGCTCCATCTGATAGATGATCATATACCTCCCGCCACTAAGAATCATCTAGTGCCCTGCTATTCAAATGTGGCCAATTGGTAGCATCAGCATCACCTGGAGCTTGTTAGCAATGCAAAAATCTCAGGCCCCACACAGGACCTATCTAAATTAGAATTT